GCATGCGCAGAAACATGCCAGCAATGGCAGAAGACACCGGGGAACTGGTTTGGGGGCGTGGCCAGCCTGGGTCACTGCCAGTTCTGTGACCCAGGCCAAATCACCACTACCAGTTCTGCCGAACCTGGAGCAACCCACCTTTGAGTGGAATGTGTGTGTAGAGGAGGAGTGCCCACACTGTTGCCCACACGTACATAGTATCTAAACAACTTAGACATAACTCTTGCACAAAAGGCCAAGGATGGAGAATTAGTTCCCATCATTGCATGAACTTCATTGTATTGCCCTTTAGATGTGAGATCACAACTACTTCCTTCTAGCCAATGAGCTTCTAAGAAGACTCTGGATTCATGAAGGCTGATCTAATAGTTTGCACAAGATTTAATCATGTAAGTGGCACAGAAGAGTGGTTTTGAATGTTTTTACATACTTGACTTAAATATGTTAGTTTAAGAAGTGGTCACTATATGGAGTTTACCGGTATATAGGGTATCTATTAATCATATGCCTTTATAATATAGATTTTACTTAAACATTCATACTAAAGATAGCTAAAATAGAATGCTGTACAAATCCTCAGGTACATTTAATAAGTGCCTGAGAATTATAGGAATTTGTCCAATGGACTTAAATGTATCAAGTAGCCTAACCCCAATGATAGTCCAAACTTACACTGGTCTAATGGCCATTCCATCTCCCAAGAAATAAGAACGTATAAGGGTAATAAAGGTAGTGAGAGTTTAATACTACTGCCTTGTAACTGAGACAACTATATCAATTACATTGATATAAATCAAGCATAAGTTTGTAAGATAGACAAAAGACTTTGGAATAAATATCTTAGTGGCTCACAAGCTGTGTGTTCTGGTTGCAAAGGTGTCAAAATAATGTCCTTGTTGGGTTTTCTTTAGTAGCTTAGAGTTTCCATCTATGGAGTATTTCAAGTTCTTGAAAGGGGAATTTTAAACATAGTGTATAACAGATTTGAGAGGATAAAGAGGGTATGGTAAAGAAAAAAAAGCTTTATTAAATGTCCAGTCTGCAAAGGCACAAAGATAGATGTGTTTCAAAGTTTACACATAGGCATGGGGTATATCTTCAGCTTCCATTGTACAGGTCTCTGGATTGGCTTGACCATGGAAGAAAAAGCCGCAAGACACATCAGTTACCGTTTAATGGCAGTTTGGGGGAAATTTTCTAAAAAGGTCCCAGCATAGACTGCAACTAGAATGGACTGGCTACTCTTTGTGCCCAACATCTGTGTTAACACAATAGAAAAGCATCACTTTAATTCACCAAATGCCAATTCAGAGGATATGTGAAACTTCGTGGGCTGCCTCTATAATATTATAGATGGGCCGCTTGGCTTGGGACCCTCTGACAGGTGCTGCTTGAGACCCATCTGAGGCAGTTGTAGGTTGATTAATTATCATCAGAGGATTGACCTGGCTCAGGACTTCATCATTCACTGAGATGCCATCCAAGTATTGCTTGAGGAGATGCCTCAACTTAAAATTGTCTTGCATCAGTACAGCTTTAGTCCGCTCTAGTGAGAGCTGCTCCAACCTCACCTTGTTGTATCTTTGCCAAAAGCGCTCCAGACCCACGTAGTCCAGCATCATCTATAAAATGTTGAAAAGCCTGGATTGGTTGCAAGGAACTACATCGCAACTTTTGAGTGTTCAAGACCCTGCCTACATAAAACCCCCAGCTTCATGTCTGCTGTGTGTGAAACATGCAATTCCCAAGCCAATTCTAAATTGGGAGATCCTTATGGAAATATACAACCACTAGAAAGATGATAAAGACCAGTTCCCTTAGGTGGGTAACAGCCCAATACCAAAATGAAAAACCCCACTTCAGATAAATTTGCTCTTGCAGAGGGGAAAGCAAAATGCTAGAATGTTAAAAGACCAGAGGCAAATTCTGAGCAAATATTAGAGAGTCAAACTGCACCAAATGCCAATCAAATCATATGAATCAGATTTTCCCTATGAAAAGCAGATTCATAGGTAATTGAGGATCAGGAAAGAGGGCGAGGCTTAATTGTTTTTTTTCCCTTTTGCTAAGGCTTCAAGGAAAATCCCTCCGAGCAGCTGGTGCCAAACTCAGAAAGATAAACCCTCCTAACTTCAACGAGTCCTTGCCTCAATCTTATCATCCCTCTTGGGAGAGGCACAGTAAATGCCAACCGATAAACCCTGAAGATACAGAATAATTTTAATATACAGATTATTCCAAACAATAAACCAAGGAAATATTTCTTCCATTTGGCAACAAAGAAGAAATGTATCCCACCCATTTCTGAATTCAGATAATTCACCTGAGCAAGTGGTTCGACTGGTTTTTCCAAAGCCAACTTATCAACTGCTTTCTGTTCTTCCCAGTTTAGGGAGTTCTGGTAAAATGGTAGCACCTTCTCCTCCTCCGACTCCAGCCTACGGCACATTTCAGCCAGGCGCAGAATTATCTCTGCCTGCAAAAACAGGAAAAAAGTGACTGGATGCGGTTTTTGCTAGGTTTTTTGGCACAGTATGTTTACAAAGTGCTGGTGCTTAAGAGAATCAGTGCAAGTAGTCCTTGACCCATTTTAGGATATTTTCGGGTGGATGTTCAGCAAATGTGACAGTTGCAAAGTAAATGCCATAGTTGTTAAGCAAACCAATGGTTGGCTGTGAGATTTTGCCAAAAACTGGAAATGTTGGTTTTCAGCGAAACTGTCATGTGACCAAGGGCCACTGCAAACAGCCATAAATGCAGTCATGTTGCCAAGCGCACAAAGTTTGGTCATGGTGGTGACCACAAAGGGTGCCCAACTGTCAAGAATTTCGAATCAGATTCTAAGTTCCCTTTTTTGGATCAGTTGTGTAACTCTGAATCATCACTAAGCAACTGGTTGTAAATCAAGGACTATCTATAATGTAGTAATGAATTAGGAATTATAATTCCTAGGTTTCTATTGGCGTCATATCATCTGTCTATCTATCTATGTTCTCTTTCTCTCTCCTAGAATGTTCAAGGACACTGACAATAATTATCAAAATATAAAAACAAAGTTCAAACAACAACTAATATTAATAGAGACTCAGGTTTGTGCAGTGCTTAAGGCACCAGGCTAGAAACTGGAAGACCATGAGTTCTAGTTCCATCTTTGGTACAAAGGTGGTTTGGTGACTTTGTGCCAGTCACTATCTCTCAGCCCTAGGAAGAAGACAATGGCAACCACTTCTGAAAATCTTGTCAGGAAAACTGCAGGGATTAGTCCAGGCAGTCACCAGGAGTCAATGGTGAAGCTAAATGCATGACATTGCTAATTAAATGACTACTTCCAGAGAAAGGCCTTGAATTCTTTTTTAAAGATTCAGAAAACAGATTCCCTAGATTCCCTAGTGTAGGACCAATGCAAAAGAAGGCCCTTTCTCACAGACCCAACAAATGGGCCTCTTAAAAGTGGAGCATCTTTAAAGAGTCTTTTCGGTCAGCCAAACTTTCTGGGCTGGCTGATAACAAGATAAAAGTCCCCCAGATAGACTAAGCCATAAGTCAGTTTACATTTTAAAAGTTAAGTCAGTGTTTCCAATAATAACCGAAAGATGTTCATGACTAGGCTTTCAAAGCTGCTATATTTATGGTGGTTCAATTCCTCTTCATTCAAGCAGGGTAGGCTTTGAAAAGTTGTTGTTGATGAGGTGCTATATTTCTGGCTACCCTTCCATATCTGAAAGTAACTACCAAGATGATGAAGACAAAATTAGACATTTGCACAACTTTCACACATTGATACATATTTTCCCTTACATGGAATTTTAAGGCTGCAAATTGCTTATTTAAAGAGAACATATGTTAGTGTGACACACAGCTCTTTGGAAATGCATCCATCACAGAAGAACTTATAAGTGGCAGCAGCTCCTTGGCAAGTAGAGAATATGTGACAGATTTTTGTGCTACATAATATCTGAAAGGTTTTCAGACATTCAAGACAAACAGGAGATGCACCAAAGTTGATTACCTACCTATCTCCCACTGAGATCCCATAAACTCTTATCAGGAATGACGAATGAAAATAGACACATGCCCAAAATGTAACCAAGATCTTCATTGCTATTGCTTATCTATCAGCAGCAGAGGTTTTTTCTTTTTGCAAAAATCTCCAGCCATCATTCTTTCTCTCCGGTTTGAAAATCCCAACTAGTTCATTCCCTTTTCCCCTTTTGTACTTCAACTTGGCTGAGTGCCGTGTCTTTCATCCTGCATGATAAATTTTGCTGGGATTTTTGATGTTGGGAGAGGAATGATGGTTATTCTAATGGTTTCAGGTGTTAACAGTTTTTGTGGGAAATATTCCTGGGAGTCAGTGTGAAGTATTAGCAATATATAAATATTATAAGAACATTCAATAAAAGCCAAACACCATTGTTCTCCTAGTGCACAGGGCAGCCTCTGATTATTCTTGCATCCACATATAGTCCATTTTGTTTCTCTCTTGAACAAAAATAGCTTGGCGATCTCTTCTTTCCTGCAATGGCCTTGTAATATTGTTTTTGTCTCATTTTCATCCCATGAATAAGATAGCCTTAAATTTTCACAACCTCCACTGACTAAGGGTATTTCTTCCCTTAGTCCAACGCTCCCCAAGGACAATCTCAAGGGATGTAAAATCTGACACGTTTTTGTCATTCTTACTTGGAAGAAAGGCAGATGATCAGTGATAGCAGGGAATAAGGCTAGAATAAATATTGGCAATAAGAACAGCAAATGTCACGCCAATGCGGCTTTCTGCTGACCCAAGAATGGATGGAGAATGGGGAAAGGTCCAAGATACTACTACTGGTGTGTGTGTGTGTGTGTGTGTGTGTGTGTGTGTGTGTGTGTGTGTGCAGTGCTTATGAGTCATATACCTGGCATTCAGGAAGAGAAACCAGGGAAGAAAATTCTGACTGATTTCTTCTTACTTTGAAAACATCAGACACATGGAATCTGAAAAATGACTTTCACAAAATCAGGATCAACTCAGACCAATCAAATACAGGTAATCCTTGACTTATTGGGCAATTGAGCCCAAAATTTCTGTTGCTAAGTGAAATGTGAACTTTGCCCCATTTTACAATCTTTCTTGTGGCTAAATGAATCAGTGCAGTTGATAAGTTAGTAACATGGTTGTGAAGTGAATCTGGCTTCTCCATTGACTTTGCCTATCAGAAGGTCGCAAAACCTGATGGTGTGACTCTGGGAGACTGCAAGTCAGTTGCCATGCATCCAGATTCAGATCACATGACTATGGGGATGCTGCCATCCCCATAAGGGCATAAGTGTGAAAAACTGTCATAAGTTCCTTTTTTCAATTCCATTGTAAATTTGAACAGTCATTAAATGAGCAGTTGTAAGTCAGGGACTGACTGTATTATGTGGATATGTTAAGCAGTTTTTAATATAATTAAGCATAATTTTATTTCCAGTACAGAGGAGGAGTTGGAGTTGGAACTGCGACCTTTGGACAGGGGTGGCATGTCTCCCTTGGCATGTTTGGAGAGGCCAGGGGCTGACGACAATGTTGGCATTGGGGGAGGTGGTCAACCAGACAGAGAGCTGCCTGCCCTCACAGACACAGGGGAGGATCGGCTGATGACAGGCAGTGATGCTGATAGGCAGTACATCTCCTCTGATGAGGAACAGCTCCCTCCCCCACTCGATCCCAGAGCAAGAAGAGTGTATGCAAGCTCAGAGAAGGGCTGTGAGGCTACTTAGGAGGAAGTCGCCCCACCCTTCCTCACAAAGAACACCCAGAGTAGAGTCACTTAAGGAGAAGAAGCCATGGAGAGTTAGTTTTCGGCAGGAACAATTGTTTGCTTTGGCTTACACTCCCCCACCCCACCCCCAGGCTTCAACTCAGGCCTGTAGCTGTTTGTCTTGCCTTGCTTTAAGGGTTGCTCTTTTGTCTTGGACGCTTGCCCTTGCTTTGTGGGCTGCCTTGGGCCTTGAGGACTGCCACTGTCTTGTACCCGGACTCTACCTTGTTCACTGGACTAGGAACCCTGGTCCTTGCCCTGTGATCATGCGCCTACTGTGAGGACTTTATTTGTATTTATAGGGGCTGTTGTTTGCAGGACTAAGGGTGGCTGCCTTCAAGATAGCATGGAGCCTTACCGGTCGTTGGAGGGCTGTTTGCTGGACCAATTGTTGAGATAAATGAAGGATTCCCTGGACAGGCCTGCTTTGCCGTAACCACCAGGATCATAACACTGCAAGGAAATAAGTCTCAAACAAGAGTGGAGTAGTCTCCAAAGAGCTTACCTTTCCCACCACGTGTTCCAAGGCCTTGAGAGTTGCATTGCTTTCCTTCGTCAGCTTAGCCAGATTGTTACGGGCTTTAGCTCTTGCCCGGTTCATCTGGCTCTTGAGCTTCTGCAGCTGTTTCAAAACCACTTCCTTCTCATCACGGACACGCCGATTTTGTTCCTCGCTCTCCCTTGCGTGGATTGCAATCTTGTTCTTCAGACTGATAATGAGATCCTGGTGACCACAGAGGAGATATTTTCAGACTACAGAACATTCTTTGTAATGACAGAGAACAGGGAGGAAAAAAGCAAAGAAAGGGAACTGAGAAAGAGAACAAAGGATATTCTTACAAATTTGGCTACACTCTTTGGCTCCAATCCTGACCATTATTGCTTTGCCTACCACAGGAATGGGATCCCACCCCCCCACCCCAACCCCGCTGTAATCCCCCGTCACATCCAAAATTCAGTCCTTGATTTAAAAGGAATGTTTCTATGGTGCTATAAGTTGAAAAGTAGAGCAGCAGCTTGAAATGCAGCTAAATGGCAGTTTTAGACATGCTATCTACTGTTATTGTACATCAAAGAAATCCCAGGCTAAGGCATTGTGGCTAATTTTATAACATGGATGCTGAGGGAAAGAGATGTACTATGTGAGGAAAAAGAAAGGAAAAGTGGTTTCCAGACCTCTCCCCCAATGGGATCTTGGGGGTATGTGGAAGCTGATCAGCAATTTATCAATAAGAAAACTCTGGACAAAAATCCTTGAAAAGTAGTTGCCCAATCAATACTGTAATTTAGGAAGTACTTTTGAATTCATGCAACGTGATAATGAGGTCCAGACAGTCATCTCATTGGAAATGCCTAGAACAGGGGTGTCAAACTATATTTCACTGAGGGCTGCACCAGGGTTGTGTTTGATCTTGGGGGAGCATGGGGGAGAGGGGCATGGCCAGAGTGGGAATGACGACCTTGATGTCACTCATGTCGGGGGCACCTGTGGTGGCCCGAGCACTCTCTCAGCGAAATCAGGCTCCCGAGATCTGTTTTTGGTTGTAATGGCCTCCTGCAGCCCTCTGCCAGCAAAAAAGGAGCTCAGGAGGACCGTGTGCGGTCCTTGCAAGCTCCATTTTTGGCCGCGACAGCCTCCTGCAGCCCTCTGCCAGCAAAAAAGGAGCTCAGGAGGACCGTGTGCGGTCCTTGCAAGCTCCATTTTTGGCCGCGACAGCCTCCTGCAGCCCTCTGCCAGCGAAAAAGGAGCTCAGGGGGAGGAAGGGCATCCCCTCGAGTTCCATTTACATGGGCAGAGGCACCACAGGCTACTCCTTCACTGTTTCCAGGGCAGCCCTGCAGGCCAGATGTAAGCACCCTAGAGTTTGACACCCCTAGCCTAGAAGATGCCACAGAATCCTCCGCAATGTGTCAGGACAGAAGTACAAAGATAGGGATAGTTAAACCCAGAGAGGGCCCCCTGAAGTTAGAAATGTGAAAATACAAGTAGTCCTCGACTTACAACAGTTCATTTAGTGACCATTCAAAGTTACGATACTGAAAAAAGTGACTTACAACCATTTTTCACACTTACAACCGTTGCAGTATCCTCATGGACATGTGATCAAAATTCAGATGCTTGGCAACTGGGTCCTACTTATGACCGCTGCTGGGTCCCAAGGTCCTGTGATCACCTTTTGCAATCTTCCATCAAGCAAAGTCAATGGGGAAGCCAGATTCATTTAACAACCAGATTACTAACTTATCAACCTGCAGTGATTCACTTAACAACTATGGCAAGAAAGGTCAAAAAAATGGGGTGCAACCTGCTTAACAAATGTCTCACTTAATGACAGAATTTTTGGGCTCCATTGTGGTCATAAGTTGAGGGTTACCTGTATAGCTGAAACAATTTGAGTCACTCATTCAGGAAGAATCCTTACCTGAATCTTCTGCAATTTCTTCATCTGCATTTCTATCTCCCTGGTGCTCCTTTCATCCCTCAGCTTGAGACCTTCAAAAGCAAATTTACGATCCTCTGTTGCTTCTGTGTAGTTACGTAAAGCCTGTTGAAAGCGCTTCCACAGCTCTTCTACTTTCCCTTCCAACTGCATGCGAAGGTAATGTTTGTCCTCCAAATTCTGTAGGGAATGAAAGTGGGTCAACACTCCCCCAGTGCACTCCCTGCTAGCTTTAGATTTCTCCAACTACCTGTACTTTTTATCTGTTTGATCAGGTGACATTTCTCAAGGGAAAAAAATAGCTTCCTTGCAGACACAAGAAAATATACTTGATTTGTTTGATTGCTTCGGGTCCTGTTAGTATAACCCTTATTCCTTGTGGATGCAGTTCAAAGTATTGGAAATAAGGACAGCATCCATAACGAGTTAATCAGTTTGGATTCCCAAACTGCTAGCATATTTCATAGTCCCTCAACTTTAGCTCATGGCTCATGTTATACCCCACAGTATCTAGAAGAGGAGAGAAAATAAAGGAGAGCAGAAATGGCTCCATATTTTATAATGCCTTGGTTCCCAAGACACACTAAGCCCTTTGGTTTTGGTTTGGCAAAGCTGTGCAAATTTGATCAACATAGTTTGTAGCATATGATTTTGTGTTGCAGGAACCCTCCTAATAGTAGTCGTTTTCAATATATCACAGCTGAACAATGATATGAACCCAGTGAACAGACCCACAATCTTTAAACAGATTGTGCCCAGTTCAGCTACAGAATTCAATTATACATATCAGCTTGAAATAACAAAAGGATTGTTGAGTTTCCTCCAAGTAGTTTGATTACAGGAGCCTGGTTCAACATCATATATTTTGTTTCACTGAATATGCCATAATCTTTATTTAACTGAATGTGTCATAATCAGCCAGGTTCACACTTCTTAAGCCAAAAAGTGCAGTACTACCAGTATTGACACCAACTGGATTCATACAACACAGTAAACTATAACCATGGAAACCATACTATGGCTTAGTTTAATTTATGAACCTAGCCAATGTGTCCTAGCTGAGTGTTTAATGTATCTTAACTGTGATGACAATGCACTGGAGAAAGAACAACCTAGCAAAGAATATAGATTTGAGTATTAATAAGCAAGAGACAACAAACACTGTAACTAGAATAGGTTGTGATGTCTGATATCAAACACCTGATCTATTTAGAACTATGATAGGATGTCTTGGATTGATTACTGCCAAAAAACTCCAAGTTCTTCCTACCAGTACTAGCATCTTCCTTTTTAAATCAACACACCAATATATAACAAAAATATAATTCTCAGATAATACCCAATAAATTCATAGCACGGAAAAAAAGAACATTTTCATAGGTAATGACTGCCCTATCAATATGTCATTACAGTTTGCTAAAGAAAAAATTAAGGGCTATACGATTGCACATAAAACCTACACATAAAGATTTTTCCTGCAGATTCATCTGTCTGCTCTAAATTGTGATCAGATTCTCCCATTTAACAGCAAATTCAAAAATATCAAAAAGTTTGCTCCCCTATCTTAACTCACACCTTATTTTTGACATCATCTCGTGTACTTTGGAAGTCAAGTCTGGCTTCATATTCATTTTCAGCAAAGTTCTGCTCCATCGCTAACAATACATCCTGGAGATAGAGACTCTCCTCCTCATGATGTTCTAAGATTAACTTCCTGGCAGAAATGGAAATGGTCCCATGAGCATCAAGAATTTCACAAATCAAGTCCCTCATGACTATCTATCCCAACCCTATGTCCTTTCTTTTCTCATATCCATACCTCTCTGTGTCAAATTCCTTCTGCAATGCTCGCAGCTCTGTCTGGTAATCCTCTTCTAAGTAGCCCAGGCGGCAGTTCTGGAGTTTCAACAGTTGATCTATGTTGTGTAAGTGGCTACGCAGGGCGTGGGTGTACTGAGCTTCTGCTTCAGCTAGGTCTTTAGCAAGGGACTGGGAGACAGAGAAAACCATAAAATCAGGACAAAGGGTAGGTTTGAATCAACTATGGAAATCAGCATTAAAAAAAATCAGAAATCTACAGTAGTCAGACCAATTATATCAGGCAAGCAAATGTATATAAAGCTATTGATTTTTTTTGTTCTCCATACTGATAATACTACTAAAGTAGTAGTGGTACAAGCTACATCAGCTGCCATTGTAGCTGGACATGTGGGAGGTTACCCACTAAAGCTGCAAAGATTTTGGAATTATATTATTTTGATCAACCCTTCAGAGGACCCTTTTAAACCCATAAAGATGGGTTATGTTGATGGTCACCAGTTTTCTGAGAGTGGTCCCAAAGTGATGATATACTGACTTGTGTCTTGCTTCTTCCATGGCTTAATGTTTATGGAGATTCTCAATCATCCAGGTCATGGTTGTTCTTCAGGATTTTCTTGGGGTTTTTTTCGTTGAAAACGTTTTGCTACCCATCCAAGAAACTTTTTCAGTTTCAGTCCTGAAGAAGCTTCTTGGATGAAGGAAAAAAAAATCAAGAAAGTCCAGCTGCCTTTTGAAAAGCACCTTTGGGTCTTCCATGGCTTCTTCCTGAAGAGCATCACCTTGTCTCCTGATGCTGAGCTTGTGTGGCAACTTCACACAACTGGAATGCTGCACTTCCTGTCCCTTTTCTGTTTTCATAGAGAGGACCAAGCCTCATAATGAAACAATGCACTGCAGCCTGGAATAACTGTGCATACTTTAAAACTAAACTTTAGACAGGTGACAGGGAACAAGTAATATTGCTGGTCTTCTGTGTTTGAGAATGCAGAGAACAAATGCAAACTACTTTATTACATATCTTGTTTTATGTGCGACAGTAAGCATTCTATTTTTCAGATAAGCTTCTAAAAGTTATGTCTGTATGTTGGCTAACATACAGATATTAATAAATCTTGCCTTTCCTCACTATATATACAATATGTGACACTTTATCCCTGGAAGCTGACTAAAATATACAGTATAAAAGAGATAAATACTGCACAAGATGATACCAACTGAGAACAATTTTTATTTAAAGGTATATAATTTGTTCTCACAGCTCATACTCTTTTTGCATAATGCCATATAGCCAGAGAGTTTCACAAGTTGCTTTCTATTCCTACCTGCCTTGCCTTTCTATAAGAGTATCCCAATTGCTTGATACAGTCTTCTTCCATGGACTTTTAGAGATTGCTGCTCACCTTAATGACATTGTCTTTGCAATCCACAACACGTTCAAATGTCTGACTGAGAATCTCAATATCTTTACGTAGTTCCCTGGCCTTGACTTCGCGGAGAACAGTACGCCATTGCAAGTTGATCTTATGCAGATTCACTGTGCTGTTGTGTTCCTCCTTGGCCAACTTGTCCTGAAATGCAAGTCACAGCTTACAATGCATTCCCCCAGAGGAATGTAGTCAATGCAGGCAGTGGCTAAATATTAAATGATTCTGAAGATCAAAATGTCTTGAATATTTTTTCTCTGAGAAAAATATGGGAAATGAAGCAATTAGGGCCATGCAAAATTCATAATGGAAACTGTTTTCATCAACTATCTACATTTGTTTGATTAGAGTTCTTGTACAAACTGAAGCAAGTATTCACTGAAATAATATAAACATATATTTATTGGTTCTGTCATCCCAATACAGACTTAAAGATCTTCACTCAATTTTTTTCCCTACAGGTGCCTAGTAGTTGAAGAGTGAAGTTCATTGCCATGTAAGGTGAAATGTGCTTATACAATGAAGATGTCTCCTAGCCTCTCCAGTCCTTTGCACCCTGCCCTTTAAAATCTGTTCCACAGATTTCCCATCAAAGAAGAGCTTGAAGGCATATCCGAAGCTGCCAGGGAAAAGTGAAAATAATCCCCCTCAGTGGAATTATATCATCTTAACCATTGTTTTGAATGTTAGATATTATTCTGGGCCAAATATTACTCCACTGATTAAACATTTTAAGCTCCATGTGAATAAGTCTGGGAGTTTTCAATAAATACTGACTAACGGCATTACCTACCCTTCCTTGTCTTATACCCATCCCTCTGAACCACTAGCCTATTCCCAATCATTTTTTAAACAGCAAATACATTCATTATTATACAATCACCTCTTATTCAATTCACCTCATTAATTTGAAACTCTGTCACAGGCTGATCAAAACATGAGGTCCAAAAATATATGTAAAAGATGTTGCTATTATTTTATATTTAATGTGTTTGCATAAAACATTTCAGACTACAGGGTATTCAATCATTTATTAATATTAATTTTATGATTCATGCTATTCACATTTGAAAGCCATGCTCTGCTTCAATGGTAACATAAAGAGAATGTTGACACGTGACTTTTGATTTTGAGCAAGTTTGTATATATCTGATACAAATACTATTTCTATATTGTAAAGTTATTGTTCACATTTGATAGAATGCAGCATATTTTGCTGGTCCTACAGTCCTCTCCTTAGAACAGAGTATGTTTCACTTATTTTTGGCTTCATTGTAGCATTGGTGTTCTTTAACTTTTGAGCACCAAGTAGTACCTTTAGAAATTGGATCAACATGTCCTCCTTCTTCTTACTCATTTCCTCCTCAGCCAGCAGCTTTTGTTGCATCGTAAGCAACCGTTCTTCTTCAGTGACTACAGCCCGTTTGGCTCCCTTCTTTTTCGGCATGTTTATTATACTTAGAAAATTGAGAGATTTGTCAGACAAAGGAAAGACCCAAGTTAACAAAATTGATGTAAAGCCATTTTCCAATATATTGGCATATAGATGTATTAAATTGCATGCCTATTATATTTTCTGAGTTGGACATATCCTGTCTAAAGATTATGTAAATTGTTAAACTAACACTTCTGGAAAGTTCTAAATTGAGAAATCCCATTTTAAGCTAAAAGATACAATTCTGACTGCTAAAACAAGCTGCTATTTACATCTCTAAATTAAATGGTTATATTACTCATTCCTTTAATCCTGTCTGTTTACCATTCTTTATACATAATTATCCTCATTTTCTTCTAAAATATTTAGACATAGTATATTATTTTTTTTCCCATCCGACCCTTTCATTCTCAGAACCCCCTGAGGAGGTTCAGGCTGAGAAACAGAAAGTCTACCATGTGCTTTGCAGATGAGTTGGGATTTGAAGTCGTTTCCCAAATGCTAAGTTGCATCCTGTATGAACTACTGTAACACAATCTAATTTGAACATATTAGAAGCATCAACTGATCAGGGATGTTTTGGCCAAATTATTGAATGGAACCCAGTAGTTGCTTTTTTGAGTGTCACTATGCTCCTTTCTAAAACTCAAAATTCTGCTGATGATTGATAAGAAATGGATACTTGAAATATCACATTCTCCGTACAATCTTTCCCAAATTTTACAACTGGAATTCTCTTGGTCCTAATGCTATCAGAAGCAGTTTAAAGGAGAATAGAAAATAATTCCTTCTGAATGGATGGTTCACATTTTGAACTTCCCTACCAAAGAAATACAATTTGATGTTCTCCTTCCTCCTCTTCCCATAGTAGGCAAATATGTTTTTATTTAGGCAGATGTGTTAACATTAAAGTTAATTATCTGTCAATTTGGTCTTAATGTGGCTGTATACGGTGTCTTTCTATTAACAGGACTTTAATTAGCCAATTCATTTGTCTAGATTTCCCTTCATTTTTATAGTGTTCAATACATTTAGCGCCTCTTTTAGGAGAAAAAAAGTGTGCAAAATCAATAATTTGGTTGTTAGGCGAATCTCGCTCCCCCACCTTGACTTTCCCTGTTAGGAAGGATCCCATGATCTTGGGACACAGCAATGGTCATAAGTATGAACCAGATGCCAAGCAGCTGAATTTTGATCCCACCTATGCTGCAAAGGTGGTGAGTGTGAAAAATGGTCAGAAGTCACCTTTCCCAGGATCGTTGTAACTTTGAAGGGTCATTAAGCGAACTGTAGTAAGGGCTACCTGTAGATATTCAGATCAAACAAAACTGTTTTATACATGTGTTTTTTTTTTCTTTCCAAAAATTCCCTTTCGGTCATCATCCCATAATAGGAATTGACTCTCGATTACAGTCACACACATACACGCGCGCGCGGGCGCAAACCCAAGACTTTCCCTACGAATTGACACCGACCTTTCCACCAAAAGAGCCTGCTCGTGTATTATTTATTCCGGCCCTCCCGTCCTTCTTCCTCTCCCCGTCCTCCTCGACCCACCGCCTCCCTCTCTGCGAGCGGGCCGCTTGCTCCAAGCCGAGTCTTCCCTGTCTCCTAGCAACGGCCCCTTTCCCGGCGACGCACCGGGGAGACGTTCCAGGGCCACAGCGCCCCCTAGTTGGGCTTGTCCAGGAGGACGGCCTTAGAGTGGCCTGCGCCCTGCTGGTACAGTGTACAAAGCCCCGGGGAAGGAAGGAAGGGAGGGAGGAAGGAAGGACGAAGCCGAAGCGAAAGCGACGCCTAAGAAATTGAGAGGGAGACCGGAGAGGCTGCAGCCACCTCCCCAGGGAAAACCAGGCCTTTCCAGGAAACGTATTTGGAAATTTTGAACGGTTCATTCTTTGAGTAGGCTTGTGATATTCCTCCACCCCCCTCTACCCGGTTGAACTCCCTTTAACAAAAGTTGGAATAGAACTTTAGAAAGCAAGCCGAGAGAGTCCACTGGTACCGGGTGGATAATACATTTAAATAAGTAAAATGTAGACTGTATGTATTAATGAAGTCTATATCTCGCTTTTGTACAGAAGCTCAAGATTGTTTCTCCACCAAATTATTATCATTTAAATTTTTATTAACCAAAGTATAAAATACAAAGGGAACAGAAAAGGCATTTCTTAGTTTTCCAGAGAATGGAAATTATTGGGAGTCCTCTACTGATCAGCACTGCAACTGCCTCTGTTGTGATTCAAAATCTACCTGGAAGTTAATCCTTGAAACCCAAAATTCTAAATTCTGGTATTTTGAGGTTTGCTTCTGGTTTCCCCCCCCCCCCTTCTTGGCAAAGGGGGACATATGAAGTCTACTTAGTCTGAGCCTTAGCAAAGGAAAATAAAATTGGGGTTGAAAATTGATTCCTGCTGCCAAATAGAGCCAGTGCTCCTATAGATATTCCCCTGAGATATTTGAATGCTTGCTTCAGTATTTAACAGCAATGTCCTGGTCTGAAGATGAGAGAATTTCAGTTGCCATGGCAACAGCACTTGGTAGTCAACTTATTCAGATATAACCTGGACCTACTTAGGAAGCTGCAGTCTAAATATAGCCAAGGAGCCCCCTTTTAATTTTAGGTCATCTACATTTCCAGTGGAAAGGGAGCAAAATACACAGAAGAGAAGAGAAAGCGCAGATGAAAAGAATAGGGACTAAAATCTTTTAAGGAATAATCCCTGTAAAATATTAAACCAGATCAGCATTTCTATGTTGAGCTCAGTCTGGATGAAGGGGGGGTTTCATTGCTGCAATGAAAATCCAGTACTCATCTCAAATAATTAAGGCCCAAATTTACACTGCAGGGCACACCTTTGATTCATTTTTCTCCTTCAGACACGCGATCTGAAGCTAGAAGCTAGTATTGCATCACAGTCATGATGTATTCTCAAGACTTTGAGGTTCATGCCACAACAGAGGCAGTTCATTGGCTACCACCAATCTCTACCAGATGGTCTACAGTTGTGGGTCCAGCTGATTGCCTCAATTTGTTGGGGAGTTTCCGAGCAGTTGGACAGGCAGCTTAGTTGGGTGACTAGGCAAACTTTAGTACATGGAGGTGATGAAGGTGCTTGCCAAGATTATTTCTAACATACTTAGGAAAACCAGACTAGAGGTTTCTCAGCGGAAGACATGATCCCCAAGTAGATGTGTATTAATACCTGGTTACTTTTCAATTTGTCAGGAAGCAATAAGAACCTTACACTGAAAGCAAATTAGTCCACCCCAGCCTCAGATTTTAAGAAGTGCACACGAAGATGTTTCTATTCCAAAAACTATTATTGAAAGTGTTACAAATACTCAGGTGGAGGGTGTCAGGGGTCTAGAATGGAAAGGGAAAAGGAGATAGCATTGAGGGATTCTTTCACACAGACACACCTATGAAACACAATCAGTGAAGTTGGATCTCTCTCTCTCTCTCCATCTCTCTCTCCCTCTCTCTCTCCCTCCCCCTCCCTCCCTCTCCCCCTCTCTCCCCCCTTGCCCTCTCCCCCTCCCTCTCTCCCCCTCCCCCTCTCCCTCCCTCTCTCTCTCTCTGATGTTTTGCATTTAACTTCAGTTTATATTCCTGGTTTCCTCTTCTTTAATCTGGAAGAATACTTAGAACAATTGTTCCAAAGGTGCTTTTCCGAAAAGAAATTGGCCTTTCTTGGGTTTTTGCTTTGAAAACCTTTGGCCTTTCATCCAAGAGGCTTCTTCAGGAACACAAAAACAGTGCCTGGTGCTTGTTCTTTCAACAGAGATAGGACTGCAGGAATAATGAAAAGGCTGGGTTATCCACCATCCAGGGACCATATTAACCACTCTCCGGACAGAACACCTTGCCACCTTCATTGCCAAATTTGAAGAATGGAATGAAATCTGAAACAACTATATATCTTAAGATGGCTTCATATTTTTTTTATTCAATATGGGAGACAAACAAATATGAACTAGTGAAGGTGGCTCTGTTATTTTTAATATCCCTTCAACTATCATTCTTTGCTTTAGATTGGTTTTTGTATATTTTAGTATATTAGCTCTTTGGTATGCTGCCCAAATCGCTCAGTTGTGAGATGGACAGCTATATAAATTGGTATGAAAGCACTAGGCTAAAAAACGGGTGATCTTGACTTCAGGTTCTGCTTTAGTCATGAAGGCCAGCTGGGTGAAAATAAGAAGGTTGTTTGGTATGTCAACCTCTTTGAATTATTTGTAACAATAATAAGGGAGAGATACAAATAAATAAAAAAGAAGCTGATTGCCTCAACACATTGTCCTTTTCTATGAATCTTGAAGAGTTTTTCCATTTTCTTTATCCTTCAATCATCCTGTTTGGGCATTTTCAAGGAATAAGAGTTCAAAAATTTTACAGTGTTCTAATGACAAAAAGCATCCAATAGTTACGAATAACCTCAGAAGAACTGTTTCTTTAGAATTTCAAAGATACAAGTGGGAAAACTGAATTATCATAACCTAAAATGTAGTGAGATTCAGAAAAGGCTTTACAGGAAAATAATCAAATGAACCCTAGCAGAATCTAGATACTGATGGTTCCTCTGTTCCTAAAAGAACACGGTCTTAAGAAGAGCAAAGTACCGTTGGTTAAAAAGAAAAGAAAAGAAAAGAAAGAAACAATTTTGCACATCCCAGTTTGGGGGGGAAAGGTTTTTTTTCTCTTTGCAACAGCTCTCTGTACTCCATGAAATTAAAAATAAAATGCACATATGTGTTTCCTGATTTACTTTTGCAGGGGAGGGTACTTCTTTAAATAGTGGGGTTTGATATGAATTCATTTGCTTCAAATGGAGGCATGGAAATGGATTGCCAGTGCGAAAGACTGGACAAATAGACTCCCTTCTTTTCAGCACTGAGAACAATCTTATCAACATTGCCTCGGAGAAGTAAGAATGGAAGTTAAACAGCTCATTGGACTTATTCTGAAAGTGTTATATTCCCGCTTACAGTATCACCCCGCCTTGTTAATAAAACTACAAACAAATCTTTCCTGCTCTTTTTCCCCAGCCCCAGAATATCTCTAAATGAAATACCACAAGGTGGAAGCCCTTTCAACCAGTTGCTATTAGTCCGAGGATGTGTCTTGATGAACACAGAGGCAGTTCTGTTGAGGACCATCAAATTCAATAGAACTTCCATCAACCTTTCCCTTTCTTCTGCCTGCCAGATATATTGAGAGCCAGATATATTTGGAGCCTACCAAATTGGGGAAGACTAAATGAAACGTTTCCCAACATTTCTAAACCACTAGTTTAAACGTTAAATCTCATCTGAAGAGGATTAATTTTTATGTTCCATCAAATTCTTGAGCCGTCAACAGATAATTGATAGACAGGGATTGAGGATACTATGAAATTTTTCTCATTGTGCACCCTGGGGGTTGGGGCAGTGGTATCCTAAGTAATGATCCAAATATATCCTAATTTAGGAGCTCTTGGGTAGAAAGTTACATCTTTTAACTGCTCTAAAATCTGATCTATCTTACTTTAGTTCTTTCTTTCCTTTCCATATAGATGAACTCTTCGAATACCTCTACCAGAAATCACCTTATCCATGCATTTAAATCATATTCATATTGGCTGCTAAAACATATACATGGTCCATAGTAAACTACTATTTCCAATGAAGTGGTCTCCAGATGAAACTTAATGCTTTGTCAATGGTATTTTGTTCCTGTAAAAGTGCTACCTAGCTCCTCTTTAAAAGTGTCATCCATGGCTACTATTCAGCCTGAAAGATGCTATTTGAAGTAAACAGATGTTTACAGGGAGAAACAGCGGAAGCAAAAGTACTTCTGAGTGTGAATGGCATGAGAGGGAAAAGCTTGGTTGTAGTCCCAAATGGCTGTAGGGGTTTTTTTCTTCTTCAACTCACTCCCATCTTCTCATAATACAGTATATACCTTAAGCAGCATATCAGTTACCCAGGAATGTTCAATTAGGTTGCTGTTGAAGGAATAAAGTTGAAAAACTATAAAATAATACTCTTATTAACATAACAGGTCTTTTCTTCCCTTTTGGAACTTAGAATATATCTTGTTTGCCTCTCTCCCAAAACTGAGTCCAACAATGCTTACTTGGTTGAGTTGGGGGGTATAGAAATTGAATAAACGAATACCCTGACAATGAAATAAATGAGGTAAAATAATAAATAAAATATAGAACTC